CTTACAATAGCTACCAAAAAAAAAAAAAAACACACACACACAATAAAATACTTAGGAATAAATTTAACCAAGTAGGTTAAAGACATCTATAAGGAAAACTATAAAAGACTAATGAAAGAAATTGAAGAGGATATAAGCAAATGGAAAGACACCCTATGCTCATGAATCAGAAGAGCTCATATCACTAAAATTACCATATTGCTCAAAGCAATCTATAAATTCAGTGAAAATACCAATGCCATTTTTCACAGAATTAGAAAAAAAATCCTAAAATTCATAAAGAACAAAAAAGGAGCCTGAACAGTGAAAGTAATCCTGAACAAAAGAACAAAGCTGAAGGCACCACGCTATTCGGCTTGAAAATATATTACAAGGCTATAGTAACCAAAATAGCATGGTATTGGTATAAAAATAGACACAGAAGACCAAAGGAACATAACAGAGAAGCCAGAAATAAATCCATGTAGTTCCTTTTTTCTTTTTTCTAAATGTTTCTCAAAAAGCCAACCAATTTTCAACAAAGGTGTCAAGAACATACAGTGGGGAAAGAACACCCTCCCTTCGATAAATGGCACTGGAAAAATTGGCTAGCCATATGCAAAAGAATAAAACTGAACTCCTTTCTCTCACCATATAAAAAATTCAACTCAAGACAGATTAAAGACTTAAACTTAAGACCTGAAATATGAAACTACTGAAAGAAAACAGGGGAAACACTTCAGGATATAGGTCTCATCAAAGATTTTATGGCTAAGACATCTAGAACACAGATGACAGAAACAAAACTAGACAAATGAGACTATATTAAACTAAAAAGCATAAAAGCATAGCAAAGGAAGCAATAAACAGAGTGAAGAGGCAACTGCTGAATGGGTGAAAATACCTGCAAACTATTCAGCTGACAAGGAACTAATATGTAGAATATATAAAGAACTCATACAACTTTTCTTACAGTTAATAAAACAAATAATCCCATTAAAAAGTAGGCAAAGGACATGAATAGCTATTTCTCAAGGAAGACATACAATGGCCAACAGGTATCTGAAAAAAAATGCTCAACATGACTCAGTAGGGAAATGCAAATCAAAATCACAATGAAATTTAATTTTACCCGTGTTAGAATGGCTATTATTAAAAAGACAAAAAACAATAGATGCTGGCTAGGATGGGGAGAAAAAGGACCTCATACACTGTTGGTGGGAATGTAAATTAGTACAGCCACTATGGAAAAACAGTATGGAGATTTATCAAAAAACTAAACACAGTTTGGATGTGGTAGCTCATACCTGTAATTCTAGTACTTTGGGAGGCCGAAGTGGGAGAACCGCTTGAGCCCAGGAGTATGATCATACTGCTGCACTCCAGCCTGGGCAACAGAGCAAGACTCTCTCTCAAAAAAAAAAAAAAAAAACATACTACACATAAAACTGCCATATGATCCAGCAATCCTACTACTGGCTGGCTATTTATCCAAAGGAAACGTATGTCAAAGATACCTGCACTCCCATGTTTACTACAGCACTGTTCAGAATAGCAAAGACGGAATCAATCTAAGTGTTCGTTAATGGGCAAATGGATAAATAAAATGTGCTACATATACACAATAGAATACTATTTCACCATAAAAGAGAATGAAATCCTGTCATTTGCAGCAACACAAATGGCACTGGAGGTCATTATGTTATGTGAAATAACCTAGGCCAGAAAAACAAGTATTTCATATTCTCACTCATATATGGAAGCTAAATAAATTCATCTCATGGAGGTAGAGTAGACTGATAGACACAAGGGGCTAGGAAGGGTGCTGGGAGTGGTGGGGGTGAGGTGATGAAGGGAAGATAAGAAGTTGGTTAATAGGTATAAATATAGCAGAGTAGGCTGACTACAGTTAGCAACAATGTTGTAAATTTCAAAACAGCTAGAAGGGCAGATTTGAAAAGTTACCAACACACAGAAATGATAAATACTCCAGATGATGGATACCATAAATGCCCTGACTTAATCATTACACATTCTATGCATGTGTAATGATCATCACATGAACTCCATAAATATGTGCAAATAACAATTTTAAAAATAAATTCTAACAAAACAGACAATATAGATGGGTACAATAAGTAGCTTTTCAGATTTGTTATAAAACAAGGCTGTTAATATTTCAGCAGGAAAAACTGAGTGTACAAAACTGAGTGTTTTATAAACCAGCCAGTAATTGCTAGAGTAAATAAACAGCACAACAGACTGAGTCTAAAAACCGTCAAGACTTATAAATGGAACTTTGTAACTGAACAGACAGTGTGGTAGGTGATGTACTGCTTTGTCCTTCTCATGTTTTCTCAAGAGCTAGGTAGGCAATCAACCAACTACATCAGGATTTCCCAAAGTGAGGTTCCCAGGATATTGTTAGATTGGCAGACTTCTGAACGCCGTCTCAAAACTAGTGATTCAAAATCTCAGGAAGCAGGGACCAGAAATGAGCAATTTTCAGTTTTAATACACTCACTAAATATTGAGAATACTAACCTACATGGTGGTAAACAACACATGCAGACTAGCTAAATATAAGCTACACTGAAGTTTGAAAATAAAGAGCAGAGCTTTTTTATTTTGATAGCGAATTCTTCAAGGTCACTCAATTACTGCTCTTGCAAATTTTAAGGCTAAGACTATGTTAAATAAAATTTACCTAAAGACAAGTATAAAGTCTTCATTAGTACAAAATGACATCTATGAGAATAAGTTAAATCATGTTCATTGTTGAACTGAATAACCTAATTACTGAACTGTCACATCAATTGCTTCATAAATCACAAAATACTCTCTCCAAATATAAAGCCTTATTTTCTGGCACCTAACACAAGCATTCATTCGACTGTTTTAGTGTACCATACACAGAGATGCTTATAAATTTGTTTGCTGAATGTATAACATTCACTTATGAGGATGAAAGAATTTATAAGTAATTGCTAATACATCACTACGTGCCAGTTACTGTTTTAATCACTTTATGTACACTAACTCTTTTAAACCACATAGAAATCCTGTAAGAGTTCCATTATCCCTCAAATAATGAGAAAACTGAAGCACAGTAGAGAAGAGACTTGCCCAAACTAGTCACTAAATTCAGACCCAGATTCACAAGATTCAAACCCAGACAGGCTGGCTTGAGAATCTGTACAATCATTAAGCGATACTGCCTTCATTATTTAAAATAAAATATTATTCATCTAGTAATAGATTCCCTAAGTGAACCTCAAATATCTTTGTTGTTCAGTACTTTAACACTCACTTTTGGCAAAATAAACACTATTTCAGATTTTTCTAATCTGCTTAATATATTTCGAAGAGCTGAATGCTTTTGTCTTTTATGTTTATTAATTTTCTCAATAGCCTAGTTTAGAGAAAGTATTAATCTTTTACCAATGTATCTATGGTCTTATTCTGAAAACCTGTAATCTTATAAGCTTGATTTGTTTATTACAAAATATATTCACTACAAGTATGAGAAAGAGTTAAAAATTTTATCCAGAGATAACCACTATTAACGTGGCACTATATACTCTTCCAGGCTTATTTATAATCCCACCTTCCACCACTACCACCAAATAAAGTAAGTAAAATCACTCTATAAAAACTGAGAGGAACTTATTCTGTAAAAAAGAAAGGAAATGAATTACTGTCATAAGATAGGAAGTATTTTAAGCTACTGTTCTATAATATAAACCCTGAGAACACTGCTTTTTACAAATAAATCTTGGTTTATATTAATAGTAATTACTTTCTGAAAACAAAAATAGTTTCACAGGTACTTTATGAAAGTCTACAACCAGCCTCATCTAAACACTTATTTTGAAAGAAAAGGCTTCACATTCAAGAAATCTTAGACAAGTTAGTTCTCTTCTATTTGCTATATATTCAGCTTTGTTTTTCTATATTAATAACTGAATTAAGTTAAAAGTTCTAAGTAAAAAGTATGTGAGTGTTTATGCTATCCTGTTTATTAGCACAGCAGTCAATAGCTACTCCTTGGCTACATCACCTACATTACAATTCTGAGGTCCTAGCCATATTCTCATTTCCTGCTCCATCATCATGGATCCAGACCAGTGACACACACTGCAGCCCCATGGATTGATATGCAACACAGAAATTATCACTACCTGTTACTCAAGCTTCCTTTAGCTCAAAAATGACAAACAATAATACCCCAGTAAAACAGTCTGCTTTCGACACAACCCTGGTCCAAACCATGTTCTCCAAGATCCTACTCTCTGATCTGCTTTACCTGTGGCTGCATTTCCTCTAGAAGTGCCTAACCCAAAGGGCCTGCTGTAATTGCTAAATATAGGGTGACTGTGGCAAGCTTCTTAAGAAAACTGCTTTATAAAACTATCAATACAACAAAGATCCTGGAAAACATGCAGCAGTTAGCATATCCCTGCAATACATCATGGTTTTACTCTAGCACAGCTGTTACCAAGTTGATCAGAAACACTTGTGGAACTTTTAAAAACTTTTAAAAACAGATTGCTGGGATCTGTACTCTTCCAAATATACCTCCACTCAACCACTTTCCCCTGAAGACTAAATTGAGTAGATCTATAATGAGACTGAGGAAAAAAAAAAATTAGTTACATAGATCCTTGCTATTCAAAGTGTGGTCTAAACATCAGAAGCATCAGCATCATCTGGGAGCTTGTCACAAATGCAGATTCTCAGGCCCCATACCTATTGAATACAAACCTGAAGCTCAGCAAGGTCTCCCAGTGATTAGGACAAACATTCAAGATTGAAAGCGCTGCCCTACATGATTCTGATGTGCAGTCAGGTTTCAAAAGCAGTGCTCTTCTTAACCCTCTAGTTCTCAAAATATAAAATCAAGTATATGAATAAATTTAAAATGTACTTTAATTGCTGCAAAGAGGCTATGGTAAAAATCAAAAGGAATTCATTTTTAGGGGGCCCCAATCACTTTCCATAGCTACCACAATTTCACTTACCCTTGCATTACATATGGAAACTGGTGACTCTGTGTTTGGTCAGTTTGTGCTTGTGGAAGGGTACGCTGCCTCAATCCTTCCGAGGAAGAACCCGCAGCTAAAGACAACATTTCTTGACTAGATGATGGAGTTGTTGATCCTGAATGATCTGAACTCTACAAACAAAAATGTGTAATTTTTAAAAGGAGATTTAGTTCTTTACAATCATAAAATTACAGGCACATTACTAAAAATGTATTCATGAAATCCCTCCACAAAACAACTAAATTTCAGAAATTTACTGTTTTAAATCTTGTGTCCAGTATAAGTACTTTAATTTTGATAAGTAAAAACTTATCAAAACTGCTTAATTAAATTAAAATATTCCATTTTTTCAACTAGAAATGGCTGAGGAGCAGAATAATACACAAAATCAGCATATTAAATTCCAAGGATTAAGTTAATGCATAAAAAGCTCTTTTCACATGATTAAATTAATGCACACAAAGCTCCTTTCATGATGCCTAACACGTATAAAGTGTTCAATAAATGGTACTAATTACTGAGTCATTTAAACAGTTACTATGTGCCAAGTACTGTACAACATCCTATTGGTAACACATTGGTTTAAAGTAATGAGAAACAGGCTAGAAATCAAAAGATCTAAAATCTAGTGTTATCTCTGACATTAACAAGAAGTATAACCTTAAAGGTTCACTTAACCTCTCAGAGTCTCCACTTTCCTACAGAAAATGAGATTGGACTAAATTTTCAAGATTCCTTTCAGTTCTAAAATTCTATTAGTTTATAGAAATCACCAACAAATATTACTTTTTTACAAAATGAACTATGAGGATCAAAATGTTAATCGGGATTTTTTTATTCTCATGCTCAAATTTTTTTATTCTCGTGCTCATGGATTCAGTAACCGTAAACAATATAACTCCCTGAAGACCATCCCAATTTGTTTAAAAATAGTTTGTCAAGTGTTTCATGTACATTTAAAACACAATTACATTTTACATAAATTACAGTTCTTCCACTTTAAAAAGCTAGGTACAGTTAACAAGTTTGTTAAATTGTATTTTACCCATACTACCTTCCTATTGACAGGATGTCTTTCTGCATGACTCCCATGCTAAGTCCTGCCATGTGAAAGGTCCAAAGCAGTCCTTTGCAAAACAGCCCACACCAGTCTTTTGCAAGACTAACAAAAACTTACTTTAAAATGTTACTTCACACACAATAGATATCAAATATCTTACTAAGGAGTCTGGATTCTTAGGAACATAAACTGGGAAAGGCTGCTTTTTCGGCAAAATTTCTCATTAAATGGGCCATCATAATATGGTGTTCATTAATACAATTATTAGAAGAAAAGCCTAGTCATTTGGCAGCACAACCTAATTTCTCTAGAACTAATGATTTCTGACCTTATTAGGCAATTATTTTATGATTAGATCTTTAAAACATTTTCAAATCCCTTGAAATTTCTGAACCATGAAAAATTAAGGTGAATTCAACTTAACATTCCTTTGATACTTTTCAGGCTTTCATAACACTCTGAAAAAAACAAATATACACACTAAAGATACAAAATCATGGCTCAGCAACCCACTGGACAAGTCAAAGTCAGAGGGTTGTTTCCGAACAAAAATTGGAGCAATGCAACTGGGTCCAACAACTACAAAAAAAAACTCTGTGCCAATGCCAATGTCTGTGCCTTTCCATGCCAAGGCAGGAAACATATAAAGACCCTTGGGTGTTTTGACAAGGCATATTTTATTTAGTTTAATGTAAGCTAAATTCCCATGGCTGGTACTAGGAAATACTTACCATTAAGAGAATACTAATTAAATACAGCAACTGGAGAAGCTAGTTTCTTAAAGCAGCAGTTCACTAGTATCTATTGAGAGAGCTTTCAACTAGTTCCCACCCCTGTCATTTGTGCTCTCTTTCGAGCTTTGGCTGGATTCTTGACAAGGAAAGCATACTTAGCAGTATACAAGTTCCCTGCCTGCTCAAGAAGTTGAAAGCAAGCTTCCACTCATCCAATCCTCTTACCTGCAAAGGTGTCATAGAAAGCCTTTATGGGAAATCAAAAATAACATAAGAGGACTGGGGACAATGTCTTTGAAATTTATAGAAAATGTCTAAATTGAGAAAGTCAACTATTACAAAACATTTCCAAAACAATTTTAGGCAGATGGAAAAATAAGGATGGAGGAATGAATACCCAAGTCTGAAAAAAATTAGCACATTAAGTATTACCTCCCCACGCAGGTGGAAGGTACACCCAAATCCAGTCATTTTTAAAAAACAAAATCCTTGACCAAGTCATCTACTTCAAGAAGATTTAGGGTACTTAAATTTTAAACAATTTAATCTACCTTGAATCAAATATACTATTTTAAATACCTGGCATATTTCTGAAACATCACTGGCCTAAGAATTTATATTATATAACCATAACATAATTCCGTTTTCTAAGTATTCCAGTAATTAAACCTTTGAAGATGAAACCTATTACTGACCTGCCATACAGCAAATTATAACTCATGGTGAATAGACTTCAAGGGATAACACTGCGTATTAGACCTTTCAAAATCATAAACTTTACAAAATGTCTAACTTTAGTTCAAAATGCAATCTCAAAATCCACAAGCTCCAATTGTTGTTTTTCATTTGGTTTTTAGAGGCAAAAAAATAAGAAGAAGATGATGAAGAAGAAGAAAAGTTCAATGTTTACTCCTCCCAAAACAACTCACAGAATTGCTGCTGGATGCCAATGCTTCACGACTTTCTCTATTGGTGCTGGATTTTGGAGAACTGGGAGGAGTCCGAGAAGTACATACTAGATGAACCATATGATACTCATCTTGCTAAAATTAAAGAAGATTACATTTAAAGGGTAGTACTACAAAATGTACAGTTCAAAAAGTCAGTAGCTAAACTGAAATACTTAAAACTTAGATCCCTTTACAGCCTAGCCATTCTATTACTGATAAATTGTTATCATTTGAAGGTAAATTTGTCATTTTATTTGGGATCCTTTTGAATTCAATATCTTCTCCATACTTGGAAAATGATCTAAATACTCTAATTGCTGTATTAAAAAATTATTTTTCATACAAAGCAGTCTTAAAGCAAACAATGTTGTGAAAGTTGTATCAGCACAATCTATCATTTCAGCATGAAAACATCTAGCACCTTAAACTTTTTACAGTTTATATATTTCCATCACTTGAGGCTTAGCAACCATAAAAGAAACTCAAATAACTTCATCATAATCACGTTTGCCTTAATTTTAGCAAGGTGATTTTTTTACTCTTTTTGGAGTCAAAAACTATTTTCATCTATAACACCTATATGCAGATATAAAGCACACATTTAAACTATATTCTGTAAATATCCCATGTTTTTCCATAAACCTACAAATATGACTGAAGAAAAATGTTACAAATAACGATTAGGGTTGGCATTTTAGCTTAGTGAGATCATGAGCATATTTATTTATACTTAGACATAAAGCTAGCAAATAAGATGGGGAAAGGAAAGAAGGAATAAAGGAGGACAAAGAACAATGAGGGATGAGTCAGCAAGTTTTTAAAAAAGAAAAGAACAGAATGACAAAGAAAAAGGAGCAGAAAGAAAGATACCCAAATGATGAGAAAGGGAAACAAAGTTACTAGAAACTAAGAATGTATCACTTGCCTATCATGAACCTGTAATTGTGCTTAATTTGGAGGCAAATCCAAGAAAGGGTATAACAGGCCCTTCCTTAAAGAGGCTCATGACATCATTAAGAGAGTAGACTTGTGCACTACAGCACAATTACAGAAACAGAGAACAGTCTTTTTTGCATGAAACTGAGAAGTCCAACCTTAATTACTTTAGGAGTTTGGAGGAAGAAGTTACTAAGGGTTAGAATGCTAAAGAAAGGCTTCAGAGACAGCACGACAGAAGGTATGCCTGGCAAAGGAGGTTGAAGACACTCCTAATTTTCAATGCCCCCCTTAGCTTCTTAATACAGAATATTAACAAGCATACAAGTATAAGACGTTGATTCTTAGAAACATAGTTCCAAAAGGTCATTATTAATCACAATTAATTCACAGAATATATCTATCTTGGGAATGTTTCCATAAAACATTTTGTGACTAAATAGGTAAAGCTAATGGCAGCATTTAAACTGAAAAAAGTAAAGGGGTACATTGACTTTAACAAAAACAGTTGAAAGAACTATTTAAAATATAAACATATTACTCAACATGTTTTATATAGGGGCACAAGAGTTCTTTGACTGAAGCAGTTTTTATTGTAAGTTGTCTGGCCTGAAACCATTTCTGGCAGCAAAAATGTTTTAAAAAGTCTTCATGTGCAGATTTAAGCTACCCTTGGGGTAAAATAATTAATATATCTGTATTTCAAAGAGCAGATGGCAGAAAGGACTATATTGAAATATATTTTATTTCTGAGCAACAGCATAAAAACAAGAAAAAAAAAAAAAAGGACAGCCAGAACACAGAGGTTTTCAGGGCTATTCTAAATGATACTATACTGGTGGAGACATGTCATTATATATTTGCCAAAACTCATAGAATGTGCAACACAAGAGTGCACCCTAAACATAAACTATAGGCTTTGGGTAATAATGCATGTCTTTTAAAAAAAAAAAAGAAGAAGAAGAAAGAAAGAAAAAAGACAAAAAACCTACTGCAAAATCCGCTATTTTTGAGGGAGTGGGTATTGCACCATGTTAGCAATTTGAAACTACATAATTCCAATAACAGCAAGAAGTCACATTGGCAAAGCTAAAATGTCAACTGTCTAAGCAGAAGGAATATACTAATTTTTTTTTAAAGTTTCCCACAGGTGATCATAAACATACAGGAGAAGATACAGATCTTCTAAATTAGATAAGGAATATCCACAACAACAGTTTAAGTCAAAGAGCTAAGGCAAAACATAGAAGAAATTCAATTCTGCTATACTCACCAACAAAAAGCAACATTTCAAATGCTGAAAAGCTCTATAAGTATAAATTCCACAAACGAACATGAGCTAAAAGCTACTACTAAAATAACTAGCCTTCAAGCTGATTTTATTGAAAATATTGAAATATAAAAATGTATTGAAATATATTTTAGCTCTGAGCACCCACAAAGTTTGCTAACTGATGGACCAGTTAATTTCCTCCTGAAATTAAACTCCCAACTCAAGCAATTTGTATAAAAATATCATGCAGCTGGCAAAAAGGAGATTTAGAGGAAAGATTGTTATCAATGAAAATCCGTCACCACTACTGAACATTCTACTTCTGCACTACTGACGTCAATAGCATTTTCTTACAAAAAATGACAAATACCTGAACACAAATACATAATCCTACTTTAGATTTAACTATCAGATGAATATACAGAACCGTTACCTAAACTAGCAAGAAACTGTCATGTTACTTTCTAATTTATCTTTACTTGTTATGCTACCCAAAGGGATTGATTTTAAGTATCTAAAAACTGAACTGGTTGAATACAATTTCAGAACATATCTCCTCTCACATTCTGAATGTATCTGGTATCAAATAGTGATAGAAAAGCTTACTTTTCTGAGAATGTCTTTCAGCTGCAGATGATCGGGAAGCAGTCTGCCCGAATACACCAATCTCTGATCCTTCGTCAACTAAGAAATGGGACAAAGAAAAGAATTAAACTTTTCTAATTATGCAGATTGAAGGCTGGGAATAACATGCCTAATTATGGGTAAAATAAAACTCCCTTTAGGCACAAGTAAGCAGACAACTGACACAATTTAAGAACTTTTGTTTTTCCAAATTCTACTTAAGAACAAACATTTAAGAGTTCAGCAAATGGTAATTTATCTATTGCAGCTATAATAAAGTACAGATAATTAATACTATCCTGGCGGGGTAGGGGGGTAGGTAAATTGGAAGTCTGTCTTTTCAACTATAATGCAATGCATATATGACTATCATTAAAAAATCTTCAAGACTATATAAATGAGAAAGGGGTTGGCCGTATATTAATAGTCAACAGTAGGATAAAATTTCGAGGTCATCAGAATCATTTTGCCTTATTTTGTCAATTTTTCATCTAAGATAATATATGACTTCTTTCTTACTAATATTGTGCAGAACAATTTATTGGTTTTAATTCAAGAGCCATTTAGATTTAGTTATAAATTTACTTACTATTCTAATTATTATTCCTACCACTCTCACAAATACCTTTGTTAAGCTTTTCAAAAACACAAGACTAAAGAAAAATCAACACAAGTGCATGGAGAGTCAGTTGCCATCTCTATATGCAACCAAAATATGAAATTATGTAAAATTAAAGCATCTGTATATACTCCACATAAGGCCTATTTAATAACTGCAAAACAGGTGAATGTTCTTTGCATTTTATCAAAACAAATACTAGCCATATCAGTAATTCTTAAATATGCCAAATCCAAGCCACAACTATAACAATTTTTAAAATTATGTATTCAACATAGCTACTACAAAAGGGTCTTCTTATATTAAAACTAGCCATAATAGAAATTATCATACTAAGATCTGTGGTTCAGGCATCCTTACACACCAAAGGTATAGCTATCCTTCCAAGATACTTAACCATTACACATATTCCAGTTTCTCCTGGAAGCATTTTGGAGTGTACCATTCCTCAAATGCACATGTACAAACTCCTATATATAAACAATCAAATACAATGCACAGGTTTTAAAATCATAAGTCTTACAACCTTTATATATATATAAAGGTTTATTATTTATATATAAAGGTTTCTGTTTATATAGAGACAGAGAGAGAGGAGCACTGTGGTATTGTAAAATATATTTGGTTTTCATGCTGTTTTCTGCCAAATAGCTCCTAAAATCCTTGGAATCTTCAGAAAGATGAGTATCTTTAGTGTGCTAATAAGACAGCTGGTGGCTGGGGGACCCTACACTGCCTCAGGATGGGGGCTGGTTGCCAGGGGAACAACCAAGTGATTAGAAGTTTGCAACTTTCAGTCCCACCCCCACCCCCAACCTCCAGAAAGGGAGAGTGGCTTAAGGTTGAGTTGATAAACCAACGGCCAATGATTTAATCAATCATGCCTACCTAACGAAGCTTCCATAAAAACCCAAAAGGACAGAGTTCTGAGAGCTCCAGCATAGGAGAATGAGTCGAAGTTCTTCAAGAGTGGATGGGCCCAGAAAGGGCATGGAAGCTCTGAGCCCTTTCTCCCAGACCTCGTGCTATGCGTCTCTCTTCCATTTGTATCCTTTGTAATAATATCCTTTATAAGTGAGCAAATGTAAGTAGCATGTTTCCTTGAGTTCCGTGAGCTGCACTAACAAATTAATTGAACCCCAGGAGGGGGTCATGGGAACCCCAATTTATAAACAGCTGGTCAAAAACACAGGCCACAACCTGTGCTTGGGACCACATATGAAGGGGGGCAGTCTTGTGGGATTGAGCCCTCAACCTGTGGAATCTATCTCCAGGTAGATAGTGTCAGAAGTAAACTGAATTAAAGGACATTCAGCTGGTGTCCTCTGGAGGATTATCTGCAGAACTCCTTGTTGTTGGAGAGAAATCCCCACACATTTTGGTGACCAGACATTACAGAAGAATTCTGTATTGAGTGTTGTGAGAGCATAAGAGAAACTGAGTTTGTTTTTTCCTATATCCTTATAGGCACTGAATGGCCAACTATATGACCATAAGTTGAATGCTAAATATATAATCAATGATTTAATTCCTGCCCAAAATGAATTATGCAATGCTTTATAAATCTCAATAATGTACTTATTACAATTGAAACCTAAAGAAGTTTCTTCAGTAAGTATTACAGTCATCATAAACTATCACTTTTTTACCAGACCAAACATTTAATAAATACTTTTATGTCATATCATCACTCTGCATAAAGGACATTGGTCTCTTTTTGTGAATTTTTTTCCTTTATAAAAATTCTCAAACATACATACAGTGGAGGGAATAAAATGAACCCCTAGGTACCATCTTCAAGAACTCTCAAGTACCCAGCTTCAACAACTACCAAATTCTGCTATTCTTGTCTCATCCATCCCTCACTTCTTTTTTTCTTTCTTCAAAGAGAATACTGCATTTTAATCTTTTTTTAAAAAAAAAAAAAAGAGAGAGACGGGGTCTCACTCTGTTTTCCAGGCTGAAGTGCAGTGGCTATTCACAGGTGCGATCATGGTACACACTACAGCCCCGAACTCCTGGGCTCAAGTAATCCTCCCGCCTCAGCCTCTGGAATAGCTGGGACTCCAGATATATGCCACTGTACCCAGCTGAGTACTGTATTTCAAAGCAATACATCATTTCTTTTCACCTGTACAAATTCAGTAAGTTTTATAATAACCATAATGTTACTACATTTAACAAATAATTCCTTAATATGTAATATCCAGTGCAGCTCAACTCTTCCCACTTGCCGAAAAATGTTTTTTAAAGATGATTTGAATCGGAATCCAAATAAGGTTCACACACAAAATTTGGCTGTTATGCCTCTTTTAATCTTTTAAGTTTCTATTTTTAAAAAATTTTTCCCAGGCTATTTACGTGTTCAAGAAATTGTTTGTCTCATAGAACTTTCCAGTCTGATTAGGCAAACTGTATCCTCCTGGTATTGCTCAGCATGTTCCTGTAGTTCCTGTACAATGTAGTTAGATCTAGAGGGCTGATCAGATTCCAATTCCTTTTTGTATGACAAGAGGACTTTTGACAAGGGGGACCTCAAATTGCACCATTTTTGACCAGTTGGAGTCCCTACAAGGTAGCTCCTGCATTTTAACATGACCTCTGTCATCTCTAATAGTAGCTTCCTTGCTCTCAGGCACAAAATGCCCCAGAAGTTCATCTTACACATTTCATGCCCCAGACCTGGAATCAGCCATTGCTCCAGGATTCATGATTCATTTTAATGGGAAATGGTATCTAAAGACCAAAATCTAGGAGCTACGAGTACTAATTTTTACTTGTCATTACTTCTTCAGTAAGCAGAGCTAGAAAATAACATATTTTTATAAAGAGAAACTTAAATCCTGAGTTCATTGTGACATTTCCAATTAAATAGTATTCACTCATTTTATTTGTATCTTCTCACCCTGAAAATCCTTCTTGCTAATGACATTAATAAATACATGCCATTAGCAAATGTACTTATTTGTTTTATCCTACTATATGTAATCTCAAAATAACAATAACAAGATTGTTACTAACAATATTGAACAAAGTTTAAGATTTCTTATTGATCTTCTCTGTCCTTAGGATATAAGTCACTAGGCAAAATACAGTGCTTCAAAGTTACTTGAAATAATAATTCTTGTAACTGTGTCACCATCCTGACATTTTTTAATTCTTGTGTTTTCATTTAGAGATTTCTCTATTTTTTTATAATTATATATAACAAAAAATGGCGATAAGGTAAAAACTATAAACAAGGTGCATTCAAAGAGGCTTTAGTTCTGTCCTTGTCCCCTCTATGATTTTGGATTGCCCTTACAACACTTAACAACAAAGCTGAATACACACATACTCCTATTTTCCTCCTTTTCTTACATAAAAAGTAGTACAATACACTTACCCCTATTGCATCTTGTTTTCTCACTTAGCAGCATAAAAATATTTCCCCATTCTTTTTAACAAACGCACAATGCTCCATTATATGAAAGGACTATAGTTTGTTAATGGATATTTGAGCGTTTCTAGGCTTTCGTTATTATGCACAGTGTCCTCCCTTCATATTATTCTATTTATCTCTATATCTTCGCACAGCATCCTGCAACAAGGAGATCATTAATGACATTGATAAAGGTAATCTTGGTGGTGTAGCAGAATAAAAACCTAAATGGAATTGATTCAAAAGAAAAGGAGAGACACGTAGAGACAGCAAATATATACAACTTATAAACAGTTTTGCACTTAAAGGAAGAAACAGGACAACAGCTAGAAGGGAAATGGGATCAAGAGAGGGTCTTGCTTTTGGTTTGTTTTATTCTTTTGTGCTTTTGTTTATTCAAGAGAGAAATAACGTGTTTGTATGCCAATAGGAGTAATTCAGTAGAAAGGAAAAAACTGATGATGCAAGAGAGAAAAACAATTTCAAGAGCAATGTCCTTCAGTAGCTAATAAGGGATGGGGGTCTTGTGCAGAGGAGTTGGACTTACAGCACAATATGACAGATGTAGGTAAAGAGATGATAAGAAACTTATACAATATCCCATCACCAGCACTCTGTGCCTCGGTTTCCTTATCTGTAATATAAGGGCAATAATAGTTTGTATCTCACAGGGCTTAATTTTCATAACAATGGAAATGCACATAAACTAGAACAGAACACAATGCCTACTGAGTATTCAATTAACATTAGGTGCTAATTTCTAGTACCTGCTCCTCCCACATCATGCAGTTTCATGAGGCTCTAATGAGATTATGGAAAAGTACCGAAAAGTTGAATGACTAACAGCAGGCTGTGTATGTTCATTATGCATAAGAACATGATTTGGATGCTGCTAAAACAGGTTGAGTTAAAGTTGCAATGACTGTCACTTCATGTGATTTTTAAAAAAAAACAAAGTCCCAATTCACGTTAGAACTTTGAAGTCTGTTTTTTGTTGTTTTGTTTTTGTTTTTGTTTTTT